TTCCTGGTGCTGCTTTCAGACAGCTGGGACTGCCTTGCTGCCTCGGGTGCAGCCTTCCCCTCCCTTCCGCTCCATGCTTCTGCCTCGCACACCCTCCCTCCCTGCAGCCAAACCTGCCTCCCACCTTGGTGTCTTCCCCCTCCCCCACACTCCTATCCTCTGCATCTCAAAATACTTTAAGGCTGAGTTTCAATGTCACTTCTTCCACGAAGCCCTCCCTTCCTGCTTCACCCAATGGACCCGGGATCCTGTGCCTTCTCTGAGCTACTCTTCCACATCAGTTTCAAAGATCTACTTATGTACCTGCTCCCCCCACTGAACTCAAGAGTTTCTCGAGGGTAGGGCGCACATCTTAACCCCTCCTCCCTCGTGTCTGGCGAGGGGAGGACAGGCGGGGCTCAGTGAGGCTTTGCTGAAACAGTGGCTGCCGCTCACCCTGTAAGAAGCGAGGATGTGTCTCTGCCCATCAGAAACGTGTGAGCAAAGGCAAGAACAGTAGTTGTCTTTAGAAGCAGCTTGTCCTCAATCCCGTCAGCTCAGCACCCAGGGGGGAGGGACGAAGATGTCGTTCGCCAGGACACAGGTGCTGAGGCAGGAGTCCCCAGAACTTGCTGGGCCAGACCTCTGCTTGTTGCTTTCCACTTGTCCAGGGGAAGCAGGGAAGTCTCCACTACTGACCAGCTGTCCACCGCGGGGGCAAGAGAAGGAAGCCTGGCATGTTCACGCACAGCAAGGTGCTGTCGAACATACAAAGCACTCGTGCTCCCTTGCTGTATTTGGGCCTTGTGAAACCCCGTGCGCGGGGCAGGGCCAGCGAGGGCGCTGACCCCCATTGTCAAATAAAGAGGCTCAGGCGCTGTGGGGTACCTGGTTTGGGCCCAGGTTGGATATGCACTTCATGGAAACCTCAACAGAAATGTACAAAAACTTCTTTCTTTGGTTTTATACATATTGAAAAGGACAGCCTCTGCTCAGTGGCTCAGAGGCCCCGATCAGTCAACTGAGAGAAGTGAATACCTTGCTTAATCAGGTGACACGAGATGCAGGAAAGTGCAAAGGTGGTGGGGCCTCCAAGGGAAGGAGAGCAGAGAGTCTGTGCCCCCCTCCTTCTCCACATTTCTTCCGGCTGATCCTGGGAGCTTTCACCTGGAGGAGGTGCAGGGGAGTCCTGCTGGCGGGCACGGGGCTCAGGACCTACGCGGGCCCCCGCGCAGTGGGGAACGGAGATGCCAGACCCGACATGGCAGGTGCTGTGCGGGCCAGCCCGGCCCACCTGGTGGTGCTGAAGGAGAGTCAGAAGCCTGGTGGGCATGAGGTTCCTGAACGTTTCCAGAACCCCTTCAAGTCCTAGGTCTTTTCTGGGCCAGAGGCCCAAAACTGGAGACTTTCTGGACTGGAAGGAGCTTGAAGGTCTTTAAATCCAAGCCCCAACTTGATGCCTTCCCGCCCTGGGCACAGATCTTCCTGTCTGAGAATTTCTTTGCTCGGGCGTTCCTCCCTACGCTCACCATCCATGCCCCAGGCCCGGTCCGTAGTCCCTCCCTCCCTTGGTCAGAGTCCGCCTCAACCTTCAGGGCTGGAGTGGCTCCCAGGCCTGCAGGGTTGTGTGCTCGGTGCAGAGGGCAACGAACGACCCGGCTGCCGTCTCCTGGACCCTTTGCCCCTGTGGTCCCAGCCCAAGGCCCCGCCACCTAAGCTGATGGCCAGCCACGGTCAGTCTGGCAGGCCCGCTGAGATCCTGCCAGCCCGGCCCAACATCGTGCCCTGGGATTTTGGGCGCCAAGGGCAGGACCTCAGTCATCTTACTAAACCCCCAGTGGTGCTCACTCGGGAGTCAGGTGTGGTTCGCACAGTCCCTACCCGCCCTAAGCGCTTGTCTCCACGATGCACTTGAGGAACATGGTGTCATCCTTCACGTAGGCATGCCTGGGTGACTGCAGCCTGTTGAGGGGGAAGAAGAGAGGGCAGCCACTGGCCACGTTGGTCTCACTCTGCGGCCGCTGGAAGGATGCTGAGCTCAGGTCGGGCCGGAAGGCGTCGATGGCGTGCTCGCGGTTGTTCTGGTCGAGAAGCATGAAGGTGACCTGTGCGGCAGGGGGCAGGTGGGAGGTCAGGCCCTGGGCGGCAGCACCGAGGGACACCCGTACAGCCCCTCTGCCCCTGAGCTCAGGCAGACTGGCAGCCAAAGACGCAATGTGGGGACCACACCTGGCATGCGGCAAGACCCGGTTAATGGAAGCATCTGGTTTCTGGGCAGTCTTCAAGGTTTGCCCCATGAGTAGGGATCAGAAGGGAGGGAATTCAGAACTGTGGTCAACTTTGGTCGGGTGCTAAAGGCGGGACCAAGCACCGACGAGGAGGCCAGACTCCATGGCCTCCAGCGCCCCTTCCTGCTGGGAACTGTTTGATCCATCAACTATGCCTGGGATCTTCTGGGGCAAGGCTGGGGGCAAGAACACACAGGCCTTCTGCAGAGGGGCTGTTAGTCAATGCCCTGAAATGTGAATGGAGTTTCTGGGATGCACAGATACGCGGCCCCTCAGAAGCCAATGATCTACGTGTGACACACACCCCTCTCTCCAGCACATGTCACTGAAACACCCGATGCCTACCATAGTGGTTCTCGAATTGGGCAGCACTTTATTTTAAAACGTGGATTTATTTATTGGGCGGCGTGGTGGGGGGGG